CGGGAGGGGGGCACACACCGACCCGACCCGACCCGGCGCTGCCGGGAGCGGGACGTGCTTCTTTGCTTGGAGCCGGCTCCGGGGCAGGGAGGAGAAGTGCCTTCCGCTGGCCGGGTGCGGTAACTTCGACTTTTCCCCCGTGTCTTTTCATTCGGCATGGACAGGTTAGTTCTCATTAAGGAAATAAGATCGCCGGGGGTTAAAATTAATGTTCCTGAGCCTGTGGTTCGCCAGCAGAAACACGAGAGCGACCGCCCGCTTCTCTAGAGGAGTGCTGCAGCTTGTCCTCTTCTGTAGCCAGTGACCCCCTCCCTCTATCCCCACTCTGATTTTATCTGTTAAGGAAAAAGAAAAACTTGTTTGTCCTGGATATGTCTTCGCATGGACAGAGCCATAGTCATGACTAATTATTCAGACTTCAACGAATACAGCAAATAAAACACTAAAAGCCAAACCCACCCTGGTCACCGGAGCTGTTTATGGTTTTTAACATAGTCATGGTTAGCTGTCAGCTGTCATATAACAGTGCTATGTAATACGCTTAGTATTAATTGTGTGCATCTTTCTGTGTAGTCATGTGCTGCCTCATTAGCAATTAACCGTTGTGCAATACATCTGCAAGAAGAAATTCAAGGTCTTCTGAGGGACACTGAAACAAGACATGTCTTTAATCCATGAGAAAGTGTAGTGTGTACAGATAGACCCAGTATTGTGAATGTAGGTAGCCTGTGTAATCATGTAAATCAAAGTGGTTTTGATGGGTTTATTTGGAAGTGAGCCTAAAATAGAAAAGAGCAGTTGGAGGCAGAGGTGTTGAGGCTAGTATGTCAGAAAAACTGCTGAATGTAAAAGTGAGTTATTTCTGATTTTAATGTCAAGCCTTCGCTACCTACTGCTTAATGCCAATTTTGCCACAGCCTTCCCATCTGTAAAGCAGGAGTCTTAAGTGAAAACTATTGCATAAAAGGCTCTGGTTTTCATAGTGGTCTTTAGTAAAGACTTGTTGCAGGCATGAGAAGTGATAAGATGAGCAATAGCCTCAAAAACATTTTGCTTAAGCTTTTGAGCCATAACTTTATCTAAAGAGCAAGATTTAACCTACCTTTACATCTCACATATGAGTGGCTACTGAAAGATTGTAGTTGTTCTGAGTGTACTTTTCCATAGTTCACTCTATCACAGATTGTATTAGTGCAGTTTATTCTTTACTGACTACTATTTGAGATATCTAGAGTATAATATTTCTCTGTATGTGATTGCTTTCTGTTCCTTTGCAGTTAGTTTCAGGCACATGCAATTTAATTATAAAAACTCAGTTTCCATCTGAGTCAGGATAAAACTTGGTACGGATGGTGAAAGCTGCCTGAAAACAGTTCTTTCCTTGTTTGAACAGGTGCTTCCAGAGTAAGGAACATTTTTTGCTTTTTTCATAAATGCCTTTCAAAATTTAATTCTTTATTAAGTCTTTCAGATCTAAAAAAAAAGTTAGTTAGGGATCATCAACTTCCACTTATGTATATTAATAAATCTTATATAATCTCTTTTCAAAATGCAGATGTTAATGAACATACAGGGAGATTGTTTTCTCTGCTTTGAATGTTAGCTGGTGAAATGAGACACTTAAACCACACAAGGAAATTCTGTTACTGCAGCAAGGGACAGTGAAGAATGCATCACTCGATAGGAATGCTATAAATTGTTTGCCATCGTGATAAATGTAGTTAAGATTTGGCCGAATTCTTATATTTGCACGTATAAAAGCTGTCCATCAAAAGCTTGCAAGTGCATCTGTGATCTGGCATACAGGTAAACCAAGGTGATAATTACTGAAAGCTGTAATGCTGCATTGGCTGGCTGGTGAACTCTGGTGACTTTTCCCTAAGGACTGTGGAGATGAAGCTGGTTTTCATGTTCACGTTATGCATTCTGAAATGTCTGCAAAAATTTGGAAATTAGGAAGCTTATCAAAAGAGCTGAGAATCTGCATAGCAAGTCTCGAGGTATCATGCATCAGACTGCAGCTGTTAAGTGGCTGTCCAGATGTAAGCTGTTAAGAACATCACAAGCATATGTGAATCTTTCCTGTGTATACACAATACTCTTCCAGTCATTGGCTATTTCTTGACCCATGGGCTTTCCCATCCAGACCTGTTTTTAATCTGTTGATCCTCAATGTGTTCTCTTCCACAAGGCATTTGGGATCTATTTAAACCTTTATAGTTGATTTAGGCATATCAGCATTTTATGTGCCATTTTTACACATCAGTGATTTTCTTGTTAATATGAGTATTTTGGCATCTCAAGGTAGTGTCCCATACATGGTGTTTGTAGATAGGGAAGGAATACTAGGTCATCTATTGAGCTGAAAGAGCCCTTGGAACAGATAGGAAAATGGACCTTAATTGTTTTAGTGCTCGTATAGATGTAATAGCTTTAAAGTGGTTTAAGTGCGTGAAGGCAGAGATGTTAAGACACTGATTTAAGGAAAATACTGTAGTTTTATCCCTGCAAAATTTGTTGAGACAAGTTCTGGTTTGAAATGCCTCTATTAATTGGCGTTTTTCAAAGTCATAAACATACTTATCTGTGAGACTTCTGTGTGGTGGTTTCTGTGATAGAGATCTGATCTGTTCCTGTTTAAGATTGTGATAGTTTCATGTACGATTTACCTTTTTTTGCCTATACAGTCAACTCTTCCGACTCCTTAAACTGGTGCAGGGCTTTTGCTTTGCGTAACGGTGTGTGGCAAGGTAAGCTACACTCTGTTTACAGGTGCTACACCCAGAGTCCTGTACAGTCAGTTTGTGCAGACTTGTAATATTTACAGTTACTTGCTGGCAGACCTCATTACTTTTGTGGGTTTTTTCTCCCTTTCTCACCTCCTTTGTGAGTTAAGATTGGGATCTTTCAAACTTCAGTGTAAAGGAAGTTGGTTTTTTTTATGTGCCTCATTTGAAGACAGTGCAGTGGTTCCTAAAGAACACAGAGGTTATTATTAAATCCTTTTACTGGTTTAAAGTGAATTGTTTTCCTTGCTTTTAAGGGCTATCAGGCATACAGGTGTGGAGTACCTGGTCTTACTTAGGCTGGGCTTATGGAAAGGATTCCACCACCTTTTCTGCATTTCTTCATTAGTGTAGTGAATCAGTAAGAGCACCATTCAGCTGATGAAAAGAAGTTTTATTCCAAGTTGAAGGGGAGTGTTGTCTTTAAAGTCATATGCTTTAATGTCTTTCTGTGATGATTCTCATACAACTCAACACTGCTCCTGCTCCCAGTCCTAAAGATTTCCCATGTAAACTGTACAGCTTTCTATATTCATACCTGCCAGAACAACAGTAGAAAATCAAATATATGGTGTCTCAGTTCTGGCATTACTTGAGTTTTGGGTGTATCTTGAAACATGGTGGATTTGTCCTTTTTTAAGTTAGGAACTTTGAAAAAAAAGAAAGATAGAGGAGGGATACGTTTGTAGGATTAATTCTTTGATCGTATTTCCCTTTAGCTAACAGAACTAGAAGTTATCTGTTTTCGAGAGAATGCAAATGGTCCTTTCAGTACTTTTTTTTCCCCTCTATTTTGTCTTTAACCTAATGATAATCACTGAACAGTTGTGCAAGCAATGTCACTGCTTTTATATGTATTCGTGTCTGATACTAAACTTAAGTTCACGTTTCTATTTCTCAAGTTTTGGTGGAGTTCAGACAAGAATGCAGAGCCCAAGTGTGCACATCTAGCTGATCTGGAGTTCTGCCTTATTCCTTGTTAGGGCTGATCCTGCAGGGATGAAGTGTGTATATATATATATATATAGGGTGTAGAAAACTTATCAAGATCCTCTGAGTTGTTAGTGGTATCAATCTTTTTAGGTTAAGCTGTCATTGTAGGAGACGTGGTGTCTTGGATATTGAACTTATTAACATATGAACTAAAAAGAAAAAGTAACCTTTTCTCCCTGTAAGAAGTGCTTTCTTTCCTTAGGACAATAAAAAGCCTTAGCTGAAAAAGAATGAGCATATTTCATATGTTTTTGGGGTGCGGATGTGTGTGCACATACATATGTCTAATAATTCCTAGTAGTTATCATTGCTTTATAAAGAAGCATTAATATTTTGTTTTCTTAGTGCTATGTGTCACCTCAGAGTTTGATTTAATTTTCTTTGTGGAGAAATTAATGGGATCTATTTGTTTTTGCCCCTTAGAAATATGACTGACAGCTAATTCTATGCTTTCTTTTGCTTCCTGTAGGCTGGCACCGATGCGGTTATATACGCTGTCCAAACGACATTTTGTTCTGGTCTTCGTAGTATTCTTTGTTTGTTTTGGTCTGACGGTCTTCATAGGAATAGCAGGTAAGGATGTTGTCTTTTTAAAAGACTACAGTTCTTGTATGCTTTGTCTAAACGTGTTGGTATTTACAGAAGTATTTAAATGTTAATGAGCTTACTGTCCCCAGGATATCTGAGGTGGCATTACTTGGATTGAGAGGAGGAAGTGTTTCTCCCTTCCTATTTTCTCATAGGAGTACTACCTACACATATTTTGTATTTGCAACTGCTTCGCAGGGGAGAGTCAGTAAAGTGAAATAAAGCCAGCTTCATTGCAAAATAATTTTTCAGCAGACTGCTACATTAATTTTCTTCTTTGTATTTCAGTCTATAAATTGGTGGTGCTATTACCTAATTTCCTATGAGGAAATTGATAACTGTTTATAAAGCCTTCTAAATATTTGGGTGGTAAATGCCACAGAAATATAAAATATTTTAGTAATGGAAAAATATGAACTTCTGTTGTCAAACATATATGAGCTTAGCTCTCTGCTTTCAAAGACCTTTGTGGGAGTCAATAGGTTTGATCTGGGAGCCTAAGTACTTAGTGCCTAGATAATCCTGGAAATCAGAGAGATTCATGGAAGTCTGGTCAACAAAGATGCAGTGTCATTAGGCAGATGGAAAGCATGGTAGCCCTCTGTATTTCATGCCAGAGAGCTTTTCCATTTCTGAAACATACTTGAAGAAGAAGTCAGTGTGCTGTCACTGCTGTGTTAATAAGCTAATTGCTGTCAGGATAGCTTTGTCAACACAGAAGTTAAATGACAGTTGGGAAGAGGGGAAGAGAGGGGCTTGTGCTGATTAAGCAAATTGCCCCCTATATAAGAATTACTTAACGATCTTACCACCTCCCCACACTTTACTGCTTATTTCTGCATCACCCAGGATGTTCTCCTGTGCCATTCTCTGAAACCTCTTGACCTTTCTGTGGGGTTGTCTCTACCTCTGCCCTGTCCTTCACTTCTGAATGAGTGCTCTCCAGGCCTGCATTTTATATGAATGGTAAAGGAAGAAACTCTGGAATTACTTAATTAAGTGTCTTTTGTCTGTTTGGCTTAAAAAGTGAGAAATAGTAGTCATGTATTTATACTGCCTAGTTGCAAGAAATGCAAAAAAAGTCGTTTTATGTAAGACTAGGCAAAAGAAATGCTCAGCTTTCTCTTCCAGGAGCACTAAATTGTTAATCTTTAGCAGAATCTGAAAGAGAGTGGCATTGATGTGTTGTGTTGTATCTGCATGCGGAGTGATCTGACGTGGTTGACCTGGGCCAGGGGACTTTGATGTAAGCAACGATGGCTGGCTGTTTGTGTGCTGTTGCGGTCCCAGGACTTGGCTGTGATCCCCTTCAGGAACTTTCAGAACTGCAGGATTCTTCTTCTTGTAAGATTGGTTTGCTGGATAGTTTTGCTGACAAAGCGTGAACACAGTTCATTATTATAGCTTAATTATTTTTAAAATAATGCTGTTTACCTTGGGAGGAGACCCACTGAACACTTTCTGTGATGGTTTTTGTGGCTTTTGTTGACAGCTCCTTGCTTCTGGTGAATACAGGGAGGGGCACTAACAATAGAATGCTCTCTCACTAAAGGGCGCAGTCTGAGCAAAACTCACCACCAAACCCACTGAGTAAATGAAAAAGTGGGAGATACATCCGTATTTTCTGCGCTACTTGAATATGGCATTGCCCATACTCAACATCTCTATTTGCAGTTTGCGAAGCCTAGCAGAAGTCTTGTTTCTCATCTGAGAAAGCAAGATAGTTTAATCCGAGGTGGCTATTGCTCTTCAGTATTTGTAATCAGACACAGATGGAGACTTTCCCCCCACCAAGTAATGCTTACTTTCTTTCCCTTTCCCCAATGGGTCTATGTTATCTTTGGGGTGAGACAAGTGCAAAGAAAATCCAAAGTGTGGAGCTTATTTTCTTTCCCTTTGCAGTTTTCCTGTTCACCACGTCAGAGTGGTTCTTTGCTTTCAGATGTGATTCTGTTAACTGAGCAAGACTAAAAGAAAAACAATAATAATGTATTTTAATTGCCAATTTTTAATAACATGACCATGGCATTGTTTTGGTCAGTTGCTTGAAAAGCTTTAATGTATTGCTTGCTAAAGGAGTAGCAGTTATGGCAGTAGAACCTCATGATTTGTTTGGTTGCTTCTCTTGAAAACTAAGACTGATCTCTCTGCCCCAATATTGGTTCATATCTTCTGGTAAAAACCCCACCTTTTTAAAAAGGCTCATTATATTGTTTTTGTTAAGACTTAAGACTTAGTTACTGAAATACTGACTTATCAACTGATAATCAAGTGACTTATCAACTGTGAGCACTTACTGAAATTCAATTATGCTTTTCAAACCAATAATGCCTTCCAAAAATCTGCCCTGTTTATATGTACTTGAGAACTGAAAAGCTGAGTGATACAGAACTGACTTTGTATGGGGTGGCTCTGAGCAAAGTTGAACTCTAATTCTAATGTGAAGCTTTTAGTGTGTTGGGTGGGATTCTTCATTTTTTCATTTAAAGACTATAAAATGGTTAATATTGTAATTAGAGTGGTTATAGAAGGCCAAGCAGTGCTACATGTTTAGAGCTGTCATGACAGCTAACCTAAAATACTTCTTGCACATAATTTTTAATACTAACTTCGTGGCTGAGTGTCTTTTGAGGATTAATAAATTACACTGAATTGCCAGAGTGAATATATACGGGGAGAGACCATTTGAACACAGAAATCTTACTGTGACTGGGAAGCCTCTAGAGTGACCTAAATACACACACATATGTCCTGCTTATGTCCCTGCCTGCTATACATCTCTGTGTTTTTTCCCTCCCTAGTGTATAGATAGAGACCTTTTCCGACTCTTCCCTTTCATTTTTCAGGTTTAGTTCTTTTGTGTATGTACTTACACATGCACAGATATAGACATTTGCTTATGTACATGCATGCATGCATTCCTCTTCTCCCCAGTACCATGTGTTCTTGCATACCTAAGAAGGCTAAGGGAAAATTGTACCGCTGTCTACAACAACCTTGTCAGAGGATACATAGCAGGTGGGGCTAGACTCTTCTTAGAGGTGCATGACGATAAGGGTGAGAGGCAACAGGCACAAGCTGGAACACAAGGAATACCAGTTAGATATTAGGAATTTTTTTTTACCGTGAGGGGTGGTTAAATACTGGAACAGGTTGCCCAGGGAGGTCGTGGGAGTCTCTGTCTGGAGAGACGTTCAAGACTTGACTGGACATGATCCTGACAACCTGATCTAATTAAGCAAAAGGATGGCCACTGGAGATGTCTTCTAACATAAGTTATTATTTTATTGCTTCCCCTTTACTGCATACAGAACTAGAGGTAGGGTGTGAGTGGATGTATGCAGTTGAACAGTACACATCAGGCATGTTTGTCTCTATCCAGAATGATTGGAGGAATGGTTGCATAAGAGGTCTGGTAGTAGGCTGAACATCTCCCACCATGCTTGGCCGTGAAATGCTATTGATTAAATGGATTGTCTGTATTAGGAGAAATTGTTTATAGAACTTGTATGCAATTATGTTTATTTATGTGATATAATTATGTTTATTTATGTGACATGCCCCAGATTTCTATAGGAAAGGAGGCACACAATCTGAGTAGACCAGGAACTGTTCCTAAAGAGACATGTGGGTATCTTGGCTTGAACAGATCAATGTGATGAAAATCCAGCACTAGCCAGACAGTACTGTAACGGTGATTGTACAAGCAAGTACATTATGTGTATATGAAAAGGCATTAGCATTGTGCACTCAAATACAATGGGATGTGTTTGCCCTGGTACCTGAGTCTTGAGTGCAATGTGTTATGGGTGCTATGCTCTATGTAAATCAGGTAATGGTAGTTGTTTGGCTATAGAAACTATAGTGTGACTAAATATGTGGATTTTTTCAGGTGTTTTTTGCAGCCCTTGTTGAGCTTCAAGTTGCTGTAACAGTGCCACTAGTGCTTAGCTAGCTTGTTCTGTAGCAGAGTGCTTTCATGACTGTAGGGTGCAGCTTAGCTTGGAAAAAATACTGTATTGTTTATAGCAGTAGTTCAGAGCACACTTGGAAGGTTTCTGACATAGAGTTCCTGATTTATAATTTAATTCTATTTAATCATGCCAAGAAATACTATGGCAGAGAGGCTCAAAGGAACATTCAGACCAAGTTTATTAATGATATTGAAATGTCCAGGTGGTCTGCCCTTCAGCTTAAGCAGCTGAAAGGTGGGATATTATTTATGTGCTTTGCAGGGAGGTATTGTGTAGTCTTTTGAAATCCTGTATTTACCTCATTACTTATCAGTAATAAAGATATTTCAATAGATTGCTTTCTTCCTTATATATCATGTAGGTCCTAATGTAATTGAAACTTCTGTAGCAAGAGCCGACTTAAATAACAGCCTAAAGGTAAGAATTAATAAATATGGTTGGATTACATGAGTGGCTTTATTCGATGACAGTAACATTAAACATTGCCTTCCTTCGCCCAATTATTTTAAGTATTTGAATTTTTACTGGAAAACATCTTGGCCACATGGTGCTTTCCAGTCTGAAATTGAAAATGCAATATTGTACTACCACTGTGTTATTTCATGAATTGCCCAGAAGCAGTTTTTAGTCTCTTACTTTTGCAGGCATGCGAGGTGAGAATTCTGTGAGGCTTCTGTACAGTAATTTCTAACTAAGCAACACTTGAGTATTGATAGGATTCACTGGTGAGTTCATGTTGGAGATTCTTGTAGGCAGCCCAAAAATATAAATTCAGAACATAAACTGAAAAGATTTTTTGTTTTGATTTAATTTTTTTTAAGTTAATTTTCTTTAAATACACTGGAAATTTTCTGGGTTTGGTCTGTTAGTCACCTATATATGTTTGCATTGGTACTCTATTATAGGTGGATTTTATTTTTTTTAAAAAACTGTATTTTTATAGCAAAGAAGAGAAATATTTCCTTCATGTAGGTTTTGTCTGTTATCTTCCATGCTTTTGAAATGAGTGTAGGATTTTTAGAAAACCTAATGGAAAATAGTTTTCATAATTATAGTTGAACAGATTTAAAACTGTGTAGCAGATCAGATGAGAGGGTCACAAATCTGACTTTACATCAGAAGTGCTAGAAATTACTCTTATTTTTCAGGCCAGGTCTCAGGATTTTGATCTTCCTATCTGAACTTACTCATTTTATTACTGCTGTTTCTAGGTACTTTCAGTAGTCATACCTTTCCTTAGTTCAGTGCTGTGCAAAATGTGTTGTTTAAGCTACTTCTTTGGAAGGCTTATATTTGAGCTGCTTATGATACTGTCCACAGAGCAGCACATATTAAATGTATTCCTAAAAATGTTGTCACAAACATAATTAACATGCCTTTCATCATTATAACTGCAGATATATCATGTAACAGAGTAATGGCTGGTGTTAATTTAACTTTGTGCATTTTTTTACAGCTGAAGCCATTCAATTTAAGTTCGCCACCACTGTCTACTTACAATCAGCAGCTGTGGCTGACCTGCATAGTTGAGTTGGATCAGCATGATGGTGAGAATCTTACCCAGTTCTTAAGAAACTGCTATGGTAACCTATATATTGTATCTTTAATTTCATTTGTCACGTACCTGATCCTGTTGCTTTCTGGCAGTGGTTGGTTGGTTTTCCCTCTGATACGTTTTTTTTCCCCACCTACCCTCTGCCACCAGTAAAGACATGGACAGCACTGATCTTGAGAAGTGGAAGCAAAAAGTAGATAGGATAAATTGTTTGTTATTTCTGTGAAAGCAGTAGGGTCTAGGGAATCTGTGTGTCTCTTCATTTTGGGGGGAATTAGATATGTAGATTGTTATATTATTAATTTTTCAACAAAACTTCCCTGTAAATATATGAGAAATACTGTAAGTACAGTATTTTTGTGACTTACTGCATAACTATGTAAATAAAAAGTTTTGCGGTTTTTTTATTAATATACTGGAATCCTACTCTGGTAAAGTATAACTGAATAACTGAGTAACTTTTGGATATCATATGCCTTTTAAGGTATATTTGGAACTCTATTTGAGATTCCATTTCTGAATGTAGCAATAGCTTAATGTTTTCTTTTTTTTTATTACAGTATCCCTCAAAAAGAATGTTACTATGACGGTCAAAGTACTTGGGGTGGTGAAGGATGGAAGCACACCATATGTTAATAATCAAGTTCACAATCGGACAAGATTACTCAGTTGTTCACAAGTATGTGCTTGCTTAAACAAAACTCTGATGCAGTACATTTTCTTTAAATCCATTTGTATGCATGTTACATTGCATTGCAAATGGAAAGAATCTACCTGTTAAGCACATCTCGGGAAAGACTCAAGAGTATAGTTTTATTTGTAATTGCAACCTAGCTAGTAATGCTGGCCAAGATACCTACCTATCCATCTTCTTCTGTTTATGTCTATGACTTGTGTTTATTACCTAAAGAGTTCTTGTTAGAGTAGCTCTCTTGTCACCAAAGCAGCATGTCCTTCTTATTCAGATTCAGCAGTACTGAAGAAAGGGATATTGTGGTAAAAGATTGGATATAGAGCCCCAGAGGAGAGAAAATTCCTCCTCTAAAACCTAGCAGAGAGTCTTACTGAAATTAGCTGGCATTTGTGTTCTGAAAAAGCCAAATTTCTTGCCACCTGTGAAGAAATGTTTAAGGTTTTGAGTTCCTAGTATAGTTTTCACTGGAAGTTTTAAGTTTAGAGACATCCAGAACAGCTTCTCCGGATGCAAGTCCTTTAGGAGAGGCATAGCTGAAGTTCTTTGTGGTAAGCATATAGGGTAATTCAAATCTTTTCTTTTATATGTATACACAAATATATGAAATCTGCAGAAATTAATGAGCAGTGTTCCATTAGATTTAATTGCATACAGCCAAGAGAGCAATATGGTTAAAAATGAGGTAGTACAAGATAGTCCTGTCTCATAATCTGATTACCTGGAGCTTAACTGACAGAGTTATTCAGATCTTTCCTGGAGCTGCAAACAGTTCTCTTCACCAGGTTAAGTGGAAAATTAGCCTTGTTATCAGTTCAACCTTTGATCCTGCTAACTGACTTTATCAGTTTCTTCTGCTCTGTGTCTGGTATCCTTCAAGAAATTCTTTATCTGCAGATCTTGTCTGAGTCTGACTGATCAAGATTGGTAAGGCACAGAATAAACATGATCAATATCTGACCATTTAGAAACAAATTCTCCAACCTATAGAGCAGTGTCTATTCTGGAATAGATTGAAGTTTTTTACATACTATTCTTCACTGTATATGTTCACAGAAATGCAGCGAAATCATTGTTGCTCACCTTGGCTACCTGAACTACACTCAGTACAACATCTTTGTTAGCTTTCAAGATCTAAATAAGTTAACATACACCATCCAGAATATTACTTTCACAGTAAGTATAAAGTTTTGTACTAGCAAAAGAAATCTCTTTAATTACTAGTGCTGTGCAAGTCTGCTTTAACTGTAGTAAAAGAAGTTATCTGATTTTTGAAGGTAAACATAAAGCTAAATCATAATTAATTTGTTCTTTCACTACAAATGCCAGAATGATTGTAGCATTTGCTGTTAATAAGGGTCTAGACAATTGTTTTAATTCTGGAAGGAAAGATTTTTCTTTCAGAACTGCTAATGCTGTTTTCTGGAACAGATAAATTTAGTCTAATTCCTGGGAGATATTTTTGACAGTAGGCAAGCTAGACTAGAACACACAGTTTTCTGCATTTGCTTTTAGAGATGTTGCCTCTCTAAAGCATGGTATTTTTTTTCAGCCTTTCCAGGAGGTGTATCTGAATTAGCAAGATTTTTCCAGACTTTACAAAAGCATGGGCTGGAAAGATTTAACAAACTCAAAGAAAAATGAAGTGATTTTTACTTACTGTGCTTATGAGGAAGAGAAGAATGTTTATTCAGTTAAAATAAGCAGGGTAATAAAATAATTAACTAAAATAATCCTAGTGAAGCCTTCTGAAATAACCAGCTCAGTTCATAGCGTTAAAGATTGCTTATAAAACATCATCATTGTGTGCTTATTAACTCCAGCAAGAAATTTAGAAACATTTTCATTGGGAGAAAATTGGCCTAAACTAAATTAGTACAGTTTACTGTGATGTATGCTATGTGTATGCAACATTTGTTATGTCAGGGCAGGCAGCAAGCAAAAATCTTACTATAAAGCAAAAGTGCTTTTTATATACTAAGTGAACTTCCTGAATATTAATACTTGTAATATTCTAATACATAAAGTACATAATTAAAAATAAGCTCTAAGGAGAAAAAACAACCAAACTCACAAACCTTTTGCTTAGTTCCAGATTTCAAACAGGACAAGGTGTTGGAGGATTTGTAGTTTCACAGTTTTGCAGGCTGACTTTAAAGCAGACGTGCAAATCCAAAAAAACCGCAAGCTCAAAGTGCAAATTTCTTGCAGCAACTAAAATTGTCAATTTATTTCATTATTATGATGATTTATGGTGATCTCAGTTGAAATTGTAGATTGCCTTTAGTATAATGAGTTTCTCTACGTAAAATTTTAATTCTGTATTTATGATTTAAAAAGACAAGAGAGAGGTTGACAGATTTAATACGCTGAAACTAAAGCTTGTGTTCACGTGGGCAGAGCATGTTATACCAAGGAGTTTACATTTCAAAAGTGGCTTCAGAAGAGAAGCATGCCAGATTGAGATAAATTGTCAACAGGGGAGAGTTTATGCAAACTGGCATAGTTAATATTTTTGCCCTTCTAGTAATTAGAGGAGGAGATTTTCCTCTTTAACCTATGAAAAAAGTTCTTTGTTGCTGGTTAGCTCATTTATTCTTTGTTTACTTACTTTTCTTCCACTTCTGAAACTTTAAGAAAACAAACCCATTACAAGAAGCATGCCTGTACCTTATCAGCCTCAGTTTGTGCATCTGACCTTGGTAATGAACAATGTCATACTGGATTTACTCAATTATTGACTTTCAAACTTTGAATGTAAAGGCAGTTGAAATCAGTGAAGAGTATCCTTTTTGTTCTGAGAAGTGCTTTAACATATGACAGCACACTGAGTATGTTTCAAAGTGACAGGGTAAAAGAGGAGCAAGAATATTAGATTTCTTTGGTTATTATCTTTTAACCATATAGTCCTGTGGATATGAAATTGTCTTTTCCATGGTGACATGCTGGGCTTTGGTTATACCTTTAAATTTTCAAAAGCCAGAGTATCTGCAGAAAGTGCTAATTATTGATGCCTTATGTACCTTGTCAAAACATTGCTCATTGAGCTTTTTTTCTTCTGTTTTCTTGTAGTGGAAGACCTACAATCCAACTTTTTCACAAGTGGAAATATGGTTCCGATTTGTCTTTGTAGTTCTTACTTTTATGGTCACGGTAAGATACTGTTTCAGTTTTTCTGGAGTATGTTATCTAGGCAGCTGATAACATTGTTCTATAGCGTTGTGTTTATAGCTTAACCCCAGCCAGCAGAGCTGAGGTATTGCTGAATGGGTCTAAAAAATGTTTCTAAAATACTTATATCATTACTGCTTCTATGTTGTGATATTGAAGGGACATAAAGAAAATAGGATAAATCAGAAAACTCTATTTTCTAAACTGTGATTTTGAATCAAAGAAAAAGAATTTTGCTTAAACAAAGGAAATTGTGATTAGATGCTAGAAAAAGTATTTTCTTTCAGTGCAGGTAGGCTTGGACATTTGAATAGATGCCCAGATTGTGGGTTCTCTGAAAATGAACAAAACTCAGTTGAATATGACCTTGATCTAATTTTAAAGTCGTTACTGCCTTGAGTGTGAGGATGGGCCAGATGACCCCCAGAGGTCCCTTGCAACCTAAATTATGCTACAGTTTAGATTATCTCTCCCCTCCAACCTGTTTTAGTCCCTGAAAAGAAGCGCTGGGGAAAAAAAAAGTGACATAAAATCAAAAATGCATAATTTTCAGAGTAAGGACACTAAGGCGGTGAACACTTGCATAGCATTTTTCTTACATAGATGATGTCACTCAGCTGGTAACTGTGAATGTGATACGGAATGTGTACTTTTAGAAAGCAGGTTTAAGTGGAAGTTGTTGGTAGCATGCGACCAGTAATTAGGCAACATTTTTCATCCATTGTTGACTTGCGCAGTACTAGTACGTGGTTTCAGTCTGAGTTCCCTTTAGAGATTAAGTAATTTGCATTGTGGTAAGCCAGCAAGCTTGGAGCAGAAGTAGAGGCTAGGAGACATGGCTCCTTTTTTAAAATGTTCTCAGTGGCAAAGACCTCTGAAGTAGCCTTTGCAATGTGCTGTTTTATGTCTTTACTCTGGTAAAACCATTAAGGTTGTATTCCTTCCCTACAAATTTTTGTTGTTGTTTTATAGTGTCTGTTTGCACATTCCCTGAGGAAATTCTCCATGAGAGACTGGGGTATTGAACAGAAATGGATGTCCATCCTTCTTCCCCTCCTGCTACTTTACAATGGTATTTGTATCCCGGAATTTTTAGAAAAGGTCCTTTTAAAAAGAAAAAAAAGAAAATAGTGCGTGAGTGAGAAAGCAAAATGGAATTTGGCCTTGAACTTAGAAGCAGTTGTTTATAAGGCTTCAGAAAACTAATTTAAAAAAAAGACTTTTAACATGTATCAAATTCAAGGGCATTATGAGTAGGTGGAACTCATTCTTTTCAGTCATGTGAATGTCAGTTTTATTTGTTTAAAGCTCTGATTTGAATAGGTGGCTGCAACCGTACTGAACCTTTCATAAAGCGACAAGTAAACGCGGTTTCTGTGTGTGTCCGCAAAGTCTTTCTTCTGCATTTTTCAGATACTCGCACTCTAGTTAAAAATGGAGACTACTTTCAGTCCAGTAAACCACATAAATTTCTAGCACTCTGTAGCAGTACCAAAGGAATATTTGCCTTTCAGTCATTCTGTGATAATTTTTTAGGTCATCACCAAGAACACTGATTTAGCAGAAAGTCTAATAAATCTGAAATCTACTAGAAATTCTGGCAACCATTTCAGATTATTTCTACAGCACAGAGGAGGCGGCACCGTTTTCTTTGTAAATTACTTGAAGAGAAGGCAAACTTCAATTTAATTTGCTGGTGTAATTCGAAAAACCTGGGGGGTTTTGTTCCTCTGAAGATATATTCCACTTTACTTTTCATAATGGAAAAAACTGTGCTTTTTTCCCTCTGTTTAACGTTTTTTTTTCTTACTTTGTTCCAGATCCATTTTTCCCCCTTTCTTTTCTGGTGAACAGCTGGTTTCCTGGAATGCTGGATGATCTGTTCCAGTCACTGTTTCTGTGTGCGTTGTTGTTGTTCTGGCTTTGCGTCTACCACGGTATAAGAGTACAGGTAAGGCTGCAACGTTATCTGCTGCTTTCTGAGAAGACAGTTGCAAGACAGCCTTCAGAATTACAACGCCATTATGCTTTGTTCTTGCTTGAAGGGTTTTTTGTTGTATGTGGTGATTGACTGTTTTTTAAACCGGTTTAAAATACCTCATAAGATAAATATGAATTCTGGAGCATATTCCTATATTTGCAGTATCGGTGAAATATGCAGAATCTTATAAACAGGATGCTCCAAATCTGCTGCATCTTATTACGCAAACGCTACAATTTTAAGTTTTCTTTAATGACCTGTGTGGGTTAAAACTACAAAAGATGAGTCTGTTAATCTAGTTCATGTCAAACAAAACAAAGGTGATAGTTAACTTTTTCTGTCAAGAATTAAGGAAATCTCAAATGTGGATTCACTCTTTCACTACACTATTGTTTTGTCAACAGGGGGAAAGGAAGTGCTTAACTTTCTATCTGCCCAAATTCTTTATTGTTGGGCTGTTGTGGCTGGCCTCTGTTACACTGGGAATATGGCAAACGTAAGCAATTTAAAATTTTAGTGTAAAAGTAATGGGTTGAGAGTGTTCAAGAACGAGAAGTTTGTTTATAATTAGTTATAATATGTTTCTTAATGCTCTGATTGTGGTAGAGGGATGGAGTTCAAATTCATATGTCGTTTTGTTTTGCAAATTGTGACTTATTTGAAAACAGAATTCCCCATGGATGATCTAGTAGTACATAATTTTATAAATGAGATCTACTTTGAATCACTACTTTGTCAATATGTTATGGTTCCCTACAATACTCACGTCTCAATTAGCTTTGAGTATTTGAAGCAAGAGTTTATCCATGGTTAACTATTACACAGTTTGACCAAACTTTCTCAACTATTAAACCTGCATAATTGGTATTGACACTGCTTTGTCAGGCTGTGCTCTGTCTCCTCAAAGCTCAGTTCTTTTGCTCACTTTAGTGTTTCTCTCTCTTTTTTTTTAATTTGTTGTGTTAACGTAAAGGTGTCACTATTCCCCACCCAGAAAACTTTCACAGTTTTGGTACACTTGTAGTTTCTGAACTCTTTTTTGTTTCTCAAAAGAAACTTTCTAACCTTCTCCATGCTGTTACACATTGTTGAAAGCAGTGCAGTTGAAGGAAATGCTTAGGCTAATGTCCTATCAACAGAATTGCTATGAGAGAAGGGCTTATACCACAGTTATTTCTTAAGTAAAAGTCTCATCACCAAGGGTAAAATGTAAACACCAGATCCTGAAGGCTTGTAGGAATTTACAAGATTATACATTTTCTGAAAAATAAGTGGGTCGATTAGACATGCTAATAACTGAAATCCTACGTATTCCTTCAAAATTTGGTTTGGGAAGGAGTATGTTATGTACTGTAAATTATCATGACTCTGTTGGAATCTGTGGCATTGCACCACTTTATACAACCAAAACCTGTAGTTATAAACTCTACAGTAACTTTAAAAGTTTTGTTAGTGGGTTTCTTGCTCAGTAGGGCTTTTGACCTTATCTTTTGTAATGGTGTAAGCACCACTTTTTCATTTTGAATCTTTTCTAGTGTTAACGCAGTGCATGATCCTACATATCAATACAGGGTTGATACAGGTAATTTCCAGGTAAGTCAGAAATGTTTCTTGCTATTAAATTGCCAGGTGGAGTTAGGCAATACATGGAATTAGTGTTTGTTCTTCTACTAAAATCTATAACACAATTTAGAAAATAGCAAATGCTGGTGCAGATAGTTTTTATTCTGACTAGGGGGCTTTTAATTTTGCTTTAGATCATGCATGGGCTCCATCCTAATGAGAAGAGTAAATTGTCTTGCAAATCTGGAGACTCAATGCCACTAGTTTAGTCACAGACTCACCACTGTTGGGATTGAAAGAAATATTTTTAAGCCTCTTAATAAGTCAGTTTTCTCAAGTCATCTTTACTCCTGCCCAGATCCTCCATCCTAGTAAATTTCAGACTTTCTTATAAAGGAAGATCTGATTTATATGAGTCCTTGTATTGTTGCCAGGAACTGTGTTTTTTGAAACTCATTGAGATTCAGCTCACTGTGAACTCAGTGAACAAAATGATGACTTCTGTTAAACTTCCTTTCTTCACATTCCCCAAAAGCCTACCTTTATGTACAGCCATCCTCATTTGGTACTTGCTTCCATGAGCTTACTTTCCCTGAATAAATGGACCATTCTGCATAGTGCTATTTTTCTACTGAAGGAAGAAGGAATAAACCAAATCTTGTTAAATAATGAAAACTACTGCTCTTTTTATAGGGAATGAAAATCTTCTTCCTTGTGGTGGCAACCACATACATTCTCTACCTTTTGTTCCTGATAGTGAGGGCATGCTCAGAACTTCGTAACATGCCTTATGTTGGTAAGGAATATTTCTTTTGATTGTTCCCCAGACAGGCTTGCTTCTAGAAGTAGATGTAAATTTGCTAATAACAGCTTTTCTCAATCTTTTTCAGATCTCAGGTTAAAATTCTTGACTGCATTAACCTTTGTAGTGCTTGTCATTAGGTAAGGTTTTTCAAAGTACATTTCTCAGTACCATAACTTTTATGACCTTTTTTTCAGGGCTTTGAATACATTTATTTTTGTAAATAAACTTGCCAATCAAACTGCGGAATGTCTTTTGATATGATTGTTATGGCAAGCTTTTCTTAGTTTTTTAACCCTTCTTGAGGCTTTTAGAGCTAACTTTATATTGTTTATATTACCACAACAATACGCTGCAAGATTTAGAGGTTCACTTAGCAGAGATGTTTTCTGTACTGCTGAGTGGTCTGCAGTGCACCATTCACCTATTTGAGAGCTTTGTAAGCTTCCCTTAGTCAAAGCAGGAATTTAGAATTAGTTTCTTAGATTATTGTTTATATCTGTCTCTCCCACTCCAAGCAGCTGTTTCAAATTACTATTGACTCTTGAATTGCCTGTAGTGGGTAAAATCTGAGGGAAATAGACAACTTAGGGGGGGAAGTTTGCTTTACTGACTTGACTTTTAATCATAAAAGAATAATTCTTAACTTAGAATTATGAAAGCAAATGTGTTTTAAAATAAATGGTCAACATGTTAGCATTATTATTTTCTCATACACTTTTCCATCAAGGTACCATTTTAATTTTGTGGTTTAAAGACACAGTACACCTATATCCTTTATTTTTTTCCACAGCATTGTTATACTTTACCTACGCTTTGGAGCACAAGTTCTACAGGACAACTTTGTTGCTGAGCTGTCGACTCATTATCAGAATTATATCCTTTTGTTATGTTACTGCTCAAGTAGGAATGTTAATCTGTTCTTATCCAGAAGATACTTAAATGATGTACCTGAGGACTGAAACCTTTGACTTCTAAGTGGGCTTTTGAAGTTGAGTCCATTGTGATCGAGGTTTCATGTCAGCATTTTTAATGGCTCTTTGTAAAGATTATGAGCCGAGACAGTTTCAGTCTAATTTGTTTGCATCACCTAACTCATAACTGCATTTGATACTCTTCAAAAGGAATGAAGGCCTAGATATGGATGCATTCCAGTAATTTTAACAAGTTACTGTGACAAATTTGTCTGTATTTGCTCCTTGAATTCCATTTGCTGTATACCTATCAGATAGCATGGAGCATACCAAAATACTTGATAAATTAGTAGTTTAAAAGTCACTGAAAATGTGCTTCTGTTTTAGTCCCAAGTCTGCACGTAGAAGAGGTCATAGCAGAGAATTTAAGTGACTTGAGAGAGACCGTTTCTGATGGCTGTTGGCAGCAGGGTTACTAACTGTATTTCTGGTCCTGAACCATGAGGTGCTAGTTCATTGTACTTTCTGAAAGTGACTGTGTGATAGCAACTGCTCCAATTACTGATAACCTGAAGCACATGTTGGGAGCTGTGTAGAAGACTATATATAAAGCCTTTAGAACTCTCCCAAAATGATGGCAAGAAGCCATCTTCAGAGTTCTGTCTACAAATAGTCCTTTCTTTTTCCCCTCTCAGTTGCTGTGCAGAGGAAGAACTTTTTAAAAAAATAATTAAAAAATCCCAACAGCTCCCACTTGAACACCTCCTTTAGTCAGCGTTCTTCTGGCATTGAAGGCAGAACTATTCAATTAACCCCACGTGCCACCACTGAAGAGGTCAATTATCTCAGCAAATGTTACTTGTGTTAAAGCTTTGTCCTCCCTTCGGTGGGAACTTTACGTTGAAATACTTTGAGTACATTAGTTGTCATTGAATTTAAAACATGCAGGTTTGTTTAGCCATTCACGCTCTCCAACTTTAGTAAGATAAACATCCTTTCAGTTGAAACAGCTTATGTAGTTTTGGGTCCCTTTTCCAAAGTCAATATGTGTGCAGCTATGTTAAACAGTATCCTTGACAACTTAACTACCAGCCGAATTCTTATCATTTTATGGTTTATTGAACTTCTATCTCTACACGTTAGCCTTTGTGTATTCACCCTCCAAGAATGCATTATATGGTAAGTGTAAGCAATCTTGCAAACTTAGATGACTAGATATTAGCAGATACTGTGTAGTGTCTTTATATTTTGCTTGTCTCGCTACTGTTTCAATTTGGTTTGGGTTAACATAAGCAGAGGCTGCGCCACTCCTGAGCAAATTGGTGTTGGCAATAGGAAGCAACACATTAAAAAGTATACAACTGATTAGCTAGACTTGAATTCTTAATGCTGTTAGTCAATATGGTGTTTGCATATAATGCAGTAACTTTTGCACTGACTGACAGACAGTCTCTGAGGAGCAACAGTACTTCATTTGTACTTTGTTCTAACACAGGTTAATGTATTGGCATGCTGGCAAACTGGACTCTGAAATAGGTCACCGTGGTTGGAAAAGTAGGGATGAAGCTGATCTCGAACATGAGAGGAATTCTGGGGAACTTGCTCTGAGGAAAGAGCTGCACAAGGCCCAAGTAAAGGGAGATAAAGGATTGAATTAGTGGCACTTTTTTTTGCATTCCTATGTAGAGGATGTAATCTGATTTACATGATTGCCAAGCATTATTCCTGTCTAAGAGATAAAGATCTGCAAAATAAATATTTGTACTGGGTTCAATCTCTGCTTTAAGCATCGAGTTTAAAATACAGAACCATAGAACAGCCCAGGTGGAAGGGACCTGGAAAGATCACTTGGTCCAATCTTTCATGGGAATGGGAGCCTAGATGCGATTATCTACCATACTGTCTAGTCATATCTTGCATGCTGAGAGGTATTCAGGGGGAAGGCACTACATAGTGGAGCTGGTCCTTTCTCTAAGCTTTTTAGAGTTGAGATTGATGGAACCATTGCAGAAAAACATGTCTTTTTCCAGTAAGAAAGACAATAGAAATGCCTGGGTGAGCACAAAGTTAAAAACTTGCTGTTGAGTTGCCAGAAGCATTAGTTTATAGAAGGAAGAAAGTAAAAACTGCCAGGAAAAATATGTTTATGACAGATAGCTGGATTGAATTTTACTTGCGTATAATTATGAATTAAACAGCACAGATTATGCAAGAAATGAAGGCCTTAAAACAAGGTACAGGGAATTGTCATAAATAGCGAGTGGAAAGTATGTGTTTCCTTTCATCTCACCACAAAGGTACAAGTCCTTCCTTCATCTGTTACAAGGATGAAAAATAACTGGCTAATCATGGACGTGCATACAAGAGATTACAACTTTGGTCTGCTTCATTTGTAGCTTAGAAATAACCAAAAAGTTAAAGAAGTCTGTGCTTTTTAAATACATGTGAACTTTTGAATAATGATTAAGGATAGTGAGGCCTGACTTAATTACTATTATGTGGAAGTTGAAAGAATATGACATTGGAAACTGCAAGGGAGGAAATTCACTTACACAACATGGAGAATATCTATCTAAAAATGAGATAGTTATGTCATCTCCTTAACTCTTAAAAATACCATGATGTTGGACCTGAAAGGTGAAGAATTTGAAGGAGAGAATTCATGTTTGTATATAGTTTTGTTGAACTGCCTTGGAAGTTGTTGAGTCTGTTGCCTACAGTGTTGAAGTACAGCCACATTTCTATATTTAATGTGCTGCTAAATTAACTCTTACTTGTATTTTCTAGAATCACAGTTGAAAGACAATCCTGCTTTTTCTATGCTGAATGATTCAGATGATGATGTGATATATGGGTAAGATTATAAAATATCTGTGGAGAGTTACTTTTGGCGTGTTATTTTTGTAATGTTCTTTCCCATGTTAATTAAATAAGTGAAGGATTAATGAAAGGTTAGTGAAAGTATTCTGCCTGAAGAGCAGAAACACAGCATTATTCCGAAAAAGAAATGCAATGAGAATGCATGTTGGTTGGGGGTTTTTTTTTGGATTCTAAAAGGGATTGCCATGGCACTGATACAAACAGGTAAGAAAGCATTAGGAGGCTGGTAGATCATAGAATGAAGGCAGCAAGAGCTTTGAAAGGAAAGGCCTTCCTTTTAAACTGGGCAAGATTGCAGGAGGCAGGTAGAGTTAGCAGAGCAGCAGCTCATAGGTAAATGCTTCAGGGAAGGAGAACAGCTCTTAAACGGCCATCACTTACTGAAGTAAGAATAATCGAAACTAGCAAAACTTCCTGGACTTGTGTGAGTTTATGTAATATCAGAATTATAGTAGCACCTGATGGGGTATCTCTCTGCTAGACACTGAACAAGCCCTTAATCTGCCCTTGATGATTTCACCTCTTGCCAAAAACACTGAAGTGATTGGAGCAGTGAGGATGGGGTTAATACTGCAGTTACCTGAACATGTTTGCTCTAGACTAGCTATGTGCATTGTCCAATAGCATGTCTTTGCTTAGTTAGATGAGTAGTGGTAGTACCAGCTTGCTTCTGTATGAATCCTTGTGAAAAGTGGCTTGTAGTTACTGGAATAACTTTTATTATGCATCACCCTCTGGAGAGAAGTTATATATACTGAACATCTGAACACCACATTCAGAAGTTTTAATGAGATCTGTTTCACAGGAGCGACTATGAAGAAATGCCACTTCAGAACGGCCAAGCTATTAGAGCCAAGTATAAAGAGGAATCGGACAGTGATTGATTGATTTTGATGTAGACAGACATGTCCACCTGGAATTAAACTAATTTTGAAGTTTTTCTAGATGGGCAACTTCCTTGGCTTCCTTACAGTCTGCTGTCATCTGAACACTGACTCCCAGGAATGACATCCTGCTTTTGTTACTGTTTACAAAGTTAAAACCGAAAAAGGAATGCTTGAAAAGGTTGTGGTGAAAACTTAAGAAACCAAAATTTTTATATCGTATAAAATGCCTGATAGCAGAATGTCTGTGGACTAAAATCTTTAAGTCTATTGCCAGTTAGAAGTGTCACTGATTGTATGCTGATTTTAGATTTCTTCCTTGCTCCTTGAGTTTTATTTATTTTTTGTTTTCATGATTATGTTCAGCATACTGTCATTCATCTGTTGTATTTGTGTTAGCTCCTTTTCATATTGTCCACTGCTGTACGAAGTGCCTCGTTTTCCTTTCAAATTTCTACCATAGTCTTTTGAGCTGGAGGAAGGGAATAAGGTGTTTTAGGGTTTTCTCTCTCTTTTCTTTTTCTTTTTTTCCCCATTCTTCCTTTGAAGAAGTGTTGTAGTGTTGCCTATCGAGGCGTAACAACCTGGTTCAAGGAATGATCCGGCGACCGACTCCGGGTCACTCGGGCCATCAGCACACTGACACCAATGTGGTGGATGGCAAAATGGCGTTTATTAGTATGCAACACAGTGTTATATTGCCTTGATTTACAACGTAACTTCCGTCTGCTTACGTTAGAAGCTATATGCTATTAGCTATAGGGAGGAGATGCCCTTATCTTTCCGTACAGCGCGAGATCTTCCGGCCGCCGGGCCCTTGCTACCAACATTTCCCCCCTCCCTATGCATAACTAAATTAGCTCGGATATAGCAATTCTAAAAAATACATACATCGTAACCTTAGATAAAAAACCTATAATAAGTGCATTCGTTTCTATTCTATGCTGTATAACAGTCTTAAAAAATGTAGTGTGAATTTGGATAAAAAGCTTAAGGCACTCTAATTGAGAGGTAGTTGAGAGGGAGAAGGGGGTAATAATTGGGAATAATAGGGCTTAACTAGAGGTAGCTAGCAAAAATTCTAAGCAAAAACATTCTTAAAGCAGTTGTTGGCGTTCTACTAGCATGATGTTGACTGCGTTTAGCCGGCTCTTAACGAACGACACGAGCTTAAAGTCCCACAAAGTCATCGCAGCCCCTGGCCGGGGGGCTATCTCGCTGTTGTTCAGGTTTTTCTG